CAGCAACTAGAAAATCAGTAACTTTGTACTTCCTGTAAGTAAAAGAATTGAGGAAAAGAACACTTTACTTTTACTCAAATACTGAAACAACATCACCATAATAACAAGATTGCAGTTAATAATTTTGAAAGAAAAGTGGGGTGGCACTATCCAAGTCATGTTGTGAGTGAGTGAGGTAGGTGTATTAAATGCAGTTTTCTGTAGTATTTCCGATACCGTATTTGACTAGAGACCATCTATCATATGGTCTCTCATTTGATGTAAAAAGTGCCCAGGGCACTCTCAAAATTAGAAATAGGGGGCTCTTATAAGAATATTATTTTGGTGAAAAAAGCAGAGTTGAAAGATAAATTTCGTGGTTTATGCTGACAGCCTGAAATGATTATGTACGACAGATATATTTTTCTAGAATGTAATTGCCCATAATTAAGGGTGCATATAACACACGAGTGCGTACTGTACGCGAATAAATAACTCTTGTGAACATTGATCAATCGGAAGGGGTGCTAATTGGGATTGTTCACTAGCCAATATATTAGCAAATAAAGCTGTGGGCGCTTATTAGAGCGGGGCGCTTATTACGTCGAATACGGTATCTCAGTTTTTCAGGAAATATCTGTGTAATGTGGGAAGAGAGCACGAAGAGATGAAAGTCTTCGATGTTTACCACTAAAGTAAAACCTAAAGACACAGGTATGACGCTGAGAATTCAAGAATCATGATCTGTGTGACTCTGGAACTGAACCCGTAATCCTGAATCTGACATGCCTGAGGGAGGCAACTCTAAACTGCTAATTGTGGTCCTTTAAACCACTGAGTGGGGGCCACCCCTGCCCCCTGATGAATACCGAGTGACAGCCCTGCTGGTGCAATGTGCACAACTGTATGTCGGGCATCTGGCATTAGATTAATAAAATGCATTCATAAAAAAGATCAACAATCTAATAAAAATTTTTTTATCGAACTCTGTCCAACTATTTGTCAATTAAATCACCAAAAACAAGGAACAGAAGTGATTGTAAAATATTCAGATGTCCTTTGATTCCAATTCAACACAATAACTTTTGGCAATGTTCACACATTACACCTGTCAACCTCACAACATCCACCATGAGCGCTTCCACACAGGGCCAAACTATAATCACCACACAAAACACAGAAATATCTCCCCTTGTTTAACAAAATCTTGTTTGTCAAAATATAATCAAACAAACAAATTATTGTCATTGTTCTGGATAATGGCACTTTCACAAAGTTTCAGTACAAAACACAGGCCTCGATTTAAATATTTGTTAAAAAACACACACTGAATGTGTGGTAGTTGAAATAAAATAAGTATAAAACAAGTTTGTTAAAAGTATTTTCTTAAAAGTACTTTTAGGTTGTGTGGAAAAAAACAACAACAAAAAAAAACCCTGAAAATGTCAAAGGTTCCCTACCCATTATGACATTTTTTATTTTCAGGGGAAAGAAAAGAGACAGGTTTCAAAATATTTGTGGATGTGTAAGCCAAGTAATTCAATGCCACAAAATGATTTAATCCAACTTATATACAAATACACTTCAATGTAACATGTACATCTACTTTAGGGGATAAAAATGGCAGGCCTGTAAGTGGTGTTTTGGTGTCAGTGTTTGAAGAAGATTTGACCAGGAGTGAAGTATTTCCTGTCCTCATCTCCACATTCATCACACAGGTACACACATTTTCCTTGACACATACAGAGATCCTTGAGCTTTTACTCACAAATTGCTTGACATATATATGAATTATCAACACATTCACATATATATCATCAAGTATCCACACATTCACATATATATCATCAAGTATCCACACATTCACATATATATCATCAAGAATCCACACATTCACATATATATCAAGTATCCACACATTCACATATATATCATCAAGTATCCACACATTCACATATATATCAAGGATCCACATATATATCAAGTATCCACACATTCACATATATATCATCAAGTATCCACACATTCACATTTATATCATCAAGTATCCACACATTCACATTTATATCATCAAGTATCCACACATTCACATATATATCAAGTATCCACACATTCACATATATATCAAGTACCCACACATTCACATATATATCATCAAGTATCCACACATTCACATTTATATCATCAAGTATCCACACATTCACATTTATATCATCAAGTATCCACACATTCACATATATATCAAGGATCCACACATTCACATTTATATCATCAAGTATCCACACATTCACATTTATATCATCAAGTATCCACACATTCACATTTATATCATCAAGTATCCACACATTCACATATATATCATTAAGTATCCACACATGCACATATATATCATCAAGTATCCACACATTCACATTTATATCATCAAGTATCCACACATTCACATTTATATCATCAAGGATCCACACATTCACATTATATCATCAAGTACCCACACATTCACATATATCATCAAGTATCCACACATTCACATATATATCATCAAGTACCCACACATTCACATATATATCAAGGATCCACACATTCACACATATATCATCAAGTATCCACACATTCACATTTATATCATCAAGTATCCACACATGCACATATATATCATCAAGTATCAACACATTCACATTTATATCATCAAGTATCCACACATTCACATATATATCAAGGATCCACACATTCACATATATATCATCAAGTATCCACACATTCACATATATATCATCAAGTATCCACACATTCACATATATATCAAGGATCCACACATTCACATATATATCATCAAGTATCCACACATTCACATATATATCAAGTATCCACACATTCACATTTATATCATCAAGTATCCACACATTCACATATATATCATCAAGTACCCATACATTCACATATATATCAAGGATCAACACATTCACATATATATCAAGTATCCACACATTCACATATATATCAAGGATCCACACATTCACATATATATCATCAAGTATCCATACATTCACATTTATATCATCAAGTACCCATACATTCACATATATATCAAGGATCCACACATTCACATTTATATCATCAAGTACCCACACATTCACATATATATCAAGGATCAACACATTCACATATATATCAAGAATCCACACATTCACATTTATATCATCAAGTACCCACACATTCACATATATATCAAGGATCAACACATTCACATATATATCATCAAGTACCCACACATTCACATATATATCAAGGATCAACACATTCACATATATATCAAGTATCCACACATTCAGATTTATATCTTCAAGGATCCACACATTCACATATATATCATCAAATATCCACACATTCACATATATATCATCTTGTAATATTTGTTATTAATCTCACATGGATCTAATACTGATACATTTCTGATGAATGTTTGCCTCTCTCCAAAACAAACTATGAAGGAAGCAGACCACAAACTAGAGTGAATGAGTGAGTTGGGTTTAACGCCGCATTTAACAGTATTCCAGTTATTTCATGGCGTGTCAGCTTAATGTGGGAGGAAAGTGATGAGGTCTCAGACGTTTACCACTTCGGTGAAACCCACAAGCATGGGCATGGTGCTGACAAACCTAGAAACATAATCAGGGCGAACCGGGATTCGAACCCACAATCATAGGTTTCTGGCGTGTCCAAGGGACACATCTCTGCAGAACGAATCGCGGTGCCTTAGATGATTGGGCCACCCGTGTCACTAGCTATGTGTATGACCCCCTGTGATATGAATTGTTTGGTTCCTGCATATTTGGTACTACTGGGAAGACATCTTGGCATAAAACTGTCTGAAGGCTCCTGTCTGTACACAGGCTGACAACCCTCTTTTGGAATGAAATGTTTATTTAGAAGGTATTCAGGACATAATTCAACTTCAAATCTCACCCTCTCATGACACAGGAACATGTTGTACAGGTTTGCGTCTGTGAATCAATATATATACTCACTGCCAAAAGAAACGCGAACTATAGAAACATATGGAGAAGTACTTTAAGAAGAGATGTTTCAAATGTGTACCAATTAACGACAAAACTAACAATCAGTCAACTGTTACCACAGAGTGTCTTTATAAGCTGCATGTGATTTCCCAACTTTACAAGCTAATCCTGCATGAGACAAATGGTGATCTTGAGTCATGGCTCTCTGACATCACATGTGATGCATTCATAAGCGTCGGTTCACACAACATACCAGAATGTTCGTTTGTGCATCAAACCAATCTAATATCTCTTGAATATGAGTAATTCTTCATATATTAACCAACATGTATGGTAATCGCGTTTCATTTGTCGGTGAGTAAAGTTAAAAGTCCTGCTACGCACATCAAATGTTACACAACATGTGGAGCAGGGCTTTTAACTAATCAATGTGGCGTATTAACCTAAAATCAGTAAGAGCATTAAAGCTATGGATAGTATTGTTGATGATGAGGTTGGGAAGGTCAGCATCTGTGTTGGGTGCCTGTTAATGAAGTCCTAACCTTCAGGTGTTGCTGTGTTTACTAACAGTGGTGTTATTGCAGTGATTGTCTCAAGATTGGGTTTTGTAATCCTTAGTCATGCCAGAATATTTCTTACATGACCACAACACCATAGGGGTTACGTGAACAACATTGTGTTATCCTATGATAATCAGTTATACCATCACCATAACCAACAGCTGCCACCATGTGACCTACACATTGTGTGATAAACAAGATTGCACACGTTTTGTTTCGCTACTTAGGCCTTATATATGTTTATAATTACCGTATTTGACATAATAAGCGCCCAGGGCGCTCTCAAAATTAGAAAAAGGGAGATCTTATTAGAATATTATTTTGGTGAAAAACAAGAGGATTAAAAGATCATAAATTTCATGGTTTATGCTGACAGCCTGAAATGTTTATATACGACAGGTATATTTTTCCAGGATCTAAGTTCCCACAATTAAGGATGCATATAACATACGTATTATACACGAATAAATAAGTCTTGTGTACAAGAAGGGGTGCTAATTGGGATTGTTCACAAGCCAATATATTGGCAAATATCGCCGTTGGCGCTTATTAGAGCGGGGTGCTTATTATGTAGAATACGGTAGTTTATGAGACCGACCAAATCAAAACCTGATCATAAAAATATTTTTTTGACAATATTTTGTTTTTGCTGATTCTGTTTTCTTATATATATAAAAAAAATTATAAAAAAATCTTTTAGTATCTTGCCAAAACATGTTTGTTTTTTCACTGGTAGCAGTACTAACCAGGAAATTCTTTTCAACCATGTACACTGAATTTTTTAAACCATCAAGTGAAACTTAATGCTGATGGAGATCACTCCTTGCCCTTCACCTGTTGTTAACCAGGCACAAAAGTGATGGGTGAGTTTCCTCGGGGTTGAACTTTGACTGGCAGTTCAACAAGAGGTCGCTGAGCATGTTTAGCTTTCACTAGCTCCTCTGCGATGTTGATGTCGATGTTCCCTGTAGTGTCGTACAGATCCACGTGTAGACAGCCACTCCACGATCTGGAAAAAATCCCAACAATAGAACACCAAGGCTGTGTAGCTCACCTGAATTATGAATCATTAATATTATTCCACCAGATTCTCTTAGTATTTGTAGGAATCGTTCATACAAAGTTACTGATTCATGCGCCATCTTGAAGTTTGTCAATTTTTCCAAGGCCGCAGACCCCTTCTTAAATTACTGACTTGGCATAACGAAACAAATAGCTCAGTTGACTCAAGTTTTTGTGGATATACCTCTGTGACATCATGTACCGTTCACAACAAAAGATTTCACTCTATACGCAATTCTTTCTATGTGGGGCTTAAAGTTATCAATCAACACTCGCAGTTTCAAACGATATGTCGAGAACCAAAAACGTTGACATCAGACAGATGGAGGTCGATGGACAACACGCTACGACAAAAGCTCACATGACTTTCATCCAGCTGAGCAAAAAATGAATGTTATTAATGGGTGAACGTGTGGGATTTAACATCACTTTGAAAATATACTTAGTTATTAACAGCTGGCGGAGGGAAGCCAAAAGTGGCGCAGCTTGTTGGCATTTACACTTTGGATGAAACGCGTGACCATGGGGATGGTGAAGGACGATGATGAAGGCAAACATGGGACCCGAACCCATGATGGATTGTGGCATAGTTTTTTGATTACATGTGTTGCACAGTGGAATATTTACTATTAACAATGATGAATTCCCTCACTGTTGTATGCGGGGAAATAAACGTGACTATCTTGATATGATGAAATAATTCAGATAATAAATTCGGGAAACTAAACATGAATCTCTTCTTAAAAAAAGATGAAAAAATGTTAATGTGACAAAATTAACTAAATATGATTCTCAAAATCTGTTGCTATCAAACTATCAGTTTAGCCCTATTTTGGCTAGCATGCTGTGTCCTATTGCGACATCCTATCGTAACTAACACGTTCTACTCCGTCCTATCTTGATGATCTATAAAACGAAATTGTTCAATGTACGTCCTATTGCGACGACATGTCAAACCAAACTGACAAATGTTCGTCCTAACAAGCTGAACTATCAAACAAAAGTCACGAATGTACATCCAAACGCGACGACATCTCAAAACCAAAGTGAACTTAACTCAAGTAAGTCCGATTTTCCACGTTTTGCACGTGCTCGGACAGCACGTGCCATGTAATACTTTTCCCTTTTCTCCGCGAAGCAAGATGCGTTACCGCTATCTGTTCAAGCTTAACATGTCTTCAAACCAACATGTTACAGATAAAACTCATGACGAGTACGAAAACTCACTTCATCCTGATCAGGGCTACCAATGTCTTCCCATCAACAAGGTCACGGAAACAGGTCCTGGAACAACAAATGACAACTCAGCTGGGAGTTACTGTCACACAGGCTGAAGGGATTGTTATGACAAGTATACAGTAGGCAGTACTACAGATCAGAATATAGAGGATTCATCACGAGTGTTTTTTAATATGGCTAATATCAACCGAGTCTTAGTTAATCGGTATTTGCCGAGCCTTTGGTGAGGCAAATACCGATTAACGGGACGAGGTTGATATTTCCCATATTAAAAAACACGAGTGATGAATTCTATTTATCATTTTCACATTTTTGCTTCCAAATTAAGGAATAATTGCATTAAACATTAACATCAGCAACTTGTCGAAATCTTACGTATAGATCGTGCGTAGTCATGGATAAATGCTTAAGTTAAATGATAAAAACAAATATACCCCAGCTTGGCAATGTACAACACTGAAGCCAGCCTGTGTCTATTCTACACTGCCTGAAAACAGTTCCTTTTTTACACCTTGGAGTCTTGACTCCTTAAACCTTTCCACATACAGTAGAACATGGATATAACAAACTACAAGGGACCGGAGAAATCAGTTCATTATATACGTTGTTCGTTATATATGTTCCTGCTCGGAAACATCCACCATCTTGGCTAAAGCAAAACACAATACACATACACGTTTATACACGTTTCCTCCCACATCTACCAGGGCACCAACCCTTTCTGTGTCACTGATATGAATTCATTGCTATCCATAAGGACTGCTTATAGCATGTGGGATATGGGAACCAACATGATTAGTGGAAAAAACTGTACTGTTCCCCTATCTCACCTGTACTCAACACTACACAATGTCCTGACTCACCTGTACTCAACACTACACAATGTACTGACAAACCTGTACTCAACACTACACAATGTCCTGACAAACCTGTAATTAACACTACACAATGTACTGACACACCTGTAATTAACACTTCACAATATCCAGACTCACCTGGATTCCTCCGTCCACTGTCCCTCCTGTCCTTCTGGGTCTGTGTCGACCAGGAAGCACTCGACGGCCTGGGGGGTGAGGTGGAGGTACTGGTCCTCCAGAGTCTGGATGTCGCGTTCACTCACCCACTCCGTATGGCCAAAGTCAACGAAGAACACCTGCACAAACACCAACACCAAAGTTTCAACTCCTTCCACCGATAACCTCATCTCCGTGGTAATGTGAGGTGAATAGGGTTTAACGGTCATGATTATTGTGCTTATATAGCAATGAGCATGGAGGTGTGTGTGTGTGTGTGTGTGTGTGTGTGTGTGTGTGTGTGTGTGTGTGTGTGTGTGTGTGTGTGTGTGTGTGCATGTGTGTGTGTGTGTGTGTGTGTGTGTGTGTGTGTGTGTCTGCTTGTACTAAATGCTTGGGCTGACAAATGGTTGCTTCATAGCAAACCATGCTGCAGATTACCATGGATACCCCACTGAAACACAGTGTACTGACTCCGAGCCACATGCCGCGATTTAACTGGAATACTGTTGGTGAATAGGGTTTATCGGTCATGATTATTGTGCTTATATAGCAATGAGCATAGAGGTGTGTGTGTGTGTGTGTGTGTGTGTGTGTGTGTGTGTCTGCTTGTACTAGATGCTTGGGCTGACAAATGGTGGCTTCATAGCAAACCATGCTGCAGATTACCATGGTTACCCCACTGAAACACAGTGTACTGACTCTGAGCCACACACCATGATTTAACTGGAATACTGTTAAAAGATCAAAGCTCGCTCACGACAAATTGGCAACGAATTGGATCGGGTGGTCAGGCTCACTGACTGGGTAGATGCATGTCATATCCCAATTGTGTGGATCGACGCTCATGATATCAATCGCTGGATTGTCTGGTCCAGATTGATTATTTACAGACTGGAATATTGTTGAGCGCTGCGTTAAACAACAAACAAAGCGAACAGCAAGGACAATGAATACCATAACATATACTACACAAAATAAGTTAAAGAACATGATTCTTTCATGTTACTATTGTTAACCACAGTAATATGAAAGAATCAGGTTGCCCTTAACCATTAGAATAGTTATTGAAAAAATCATTTACTCTCCTCAAAAAATCAACTCTTCCTGCTTGGCGTGCGATCCAAGCTCCACAACATACATAAGCATGGTCATGAATTCATTGATCATCACCACGTCAGCTGTTTCTGTACTGTCTATTTTCACTGTTTACATTCGCAATGTTTTGCCTTTAATGATAAGCTTGTCATTAAATTTGATGAATTTGAGTCAACCAACTTGACATGGTACCGACACAGAAACACCAGCTCCAGCACAGTTAAATTGTTTATTGGACTCTTAGTCAGGTAATTTATGTGCATCGACTGATGTGACAATAGACTCCAGGAAGTTCAGACAAATGAAGTGCCACAGCACTGTAGCTCACCTGGATATGTATTCGACAGATTTAGAAATTTCAACGAAGACAGCCATTTTACAAAGTTGGTGACAGCATTGATATTCAAATACATATTTCTGCATAAATATTTTGAGGACAATAAACTTATATTAAAATCCTTGATTGGCACCAATTATGACGTCATCATGTGAAGAGTGAGTGAGTGAGTATGGTTTTACGCCGCTTTTAGCAATATTCCAGCAATATCACAGCGGGGGACACCAGAAATGGGCTTCACACATTGTACCCTTGTCGGGAATCAAACCCGGGTCTTCGGCGTGACAAGCGAACGCCTCAACCACTAGGCTACCCGACCGCCCCTCATCATGTGAAGAATGATAATGCCTATTTAAGCATCCTCAGTCTGGCAAGAATATGGAGTCAAATATGCATAAAATATGCAATTTATGACCATGGCCAAAATACAAACTTCAAAGTCTAAATAATTGCAAAAAATGGAACAACTGTCTTTTCAGGTGAACATGCTCATGATGGAAGTCAGTCAATGGACAAACACGTGAACCTCAGATGTGTCACCTCATCACCGCAAACCTGTTTTTCATTAATTTCATGATTTACAGTAAAATTAGTAGCACAATTATTTGCAATAATAAAGGAACAAACCTCCACTTTTTCATCTTCGGGTGAGGTGTCGGTGACCTTCGCCCGGTACCAGCCGATCACATCTCCATTGTTAAACTTGGCTGCAACGGCCTGGCCTGGCGCCAGAAGCGTGATGTCTCGGTCACTGAAGGATTTGTTCATGTAGTTGGCACTGGATCATAAAAGAAATGATTTTGGGTGCATTCCTTCAAATGGTGATCAATGGACACTTCAAAGTAGGGATGTCAAGAGTTATTAATTTGTTTAATCCACTCCATTGTACAAAATTGACAGATAAGTGTTTAGTTGTAATATCAATATAGTGATAGTGACAAGTATTTGTCACAAAGTGACGAAATGTGCCCCGCCTGTATATACACCATAGTACCAAATATGAAGACAATCCAGCGATTAGTTCTTGAGATATTGTGGCAACACCGTTTTCCAACTCCAAAAGCAGATTTGCCTGCTGTGACCTTGAAAATGAGGTCAGGTCACCAAAACCGACTGGTGTCTGCAGTGTCTGTATATACACCATAGTCCAAAGAATGAAGACAATCCAGCGATTAGTTCTTGAGATATCGTGGCAACACCGTTTTCCAACTCCAAAAGCAGATTTGCCTGCTGTGACCTTGAAAATGGTGTCAAGGTCACCAAAACCAACTGGTGTCTGCGGAGTCTGTATAAACACCATAGTTCCAAATATGAAGACAATCCAGTGTTTAGTTCTTGAGATATCGCGGCAACACCCTTTTCCAACTCCAAGAGCAGATTTGCCTGACGGACGTACGGACTGTCGTGAATACTATATCCCCCGCTTCGCGCTTTGGCGGGGGACAATAAGAAACCAATATCTCTGATATACATGAATCACAAATTTCTATTTAGTTTAGAAGCTCATTGTCCTGTCATATCATCTTTCTCACAGACTTTCATACCTGAGACGTAAAGTTAACCTGACCTGATGCTTTAATGCCATCTGGTACAGAATCTGATTGATGCAAAGAATCTAAGTGTTCAACATGACACCTGAGGTGAGGTGAGGTGAGGTGAGGTGAGGTGAGGTGAGGTGAGGTGAGGTGAGGTGAGGTGAGGTGAGGTGAGGTGTGGTAGGGTGTGGTGAGGTGAGGTGTGGTGAGTTGTGGTAGGGTGGGGTGGGGTGGGGTGGGGTGGGTTGTGGTGAGGTGAGGTGAGGTGAGGTGAGGTGAGGTGTGGTGTGGTGAGGTGTGGTAGGGTGGGTTGGGGTCAGGCGAGGCGAGGTGAGGTGAGGTGAGGTGAGGTGAGGTGAGGTGAGGTGAGGTGAGGTGAGGCTAAGCTCGCTACCGTATGGGAGAAGGGTGTATGTGAGCAATATCAAGCAGTGTGTTTGTTGTTAAACGCAGCACTGAGCAATATTCCAGCTTCATGAGAAAAGAGTGGGGTAGGAGGAAGGCTGAGAGCTTTTTTTATTTTTATAATATATTTTTTGCAAAAGGAAGTGCCAAAGAATTTACTCTTTTTCTCACAACACATATCCAGTGAACATTTCATTTTTTGGAGGTAGCACTGAGGAAAAAAAAAAATGTCACCATTTTTTATGGAACAAATTATTTGAAACATCGGGGATCTGCCTTACCTCGAATTTCACAAATTGTCGGGAATCCAACCCTGATCTTTTCCATCACAAGTAAATACTCTAACAACAAGGCTACACTATGTCCCTCACAACACAACACTATGTCCCTCACAACACAAAACAACACTATGTCCCTCAAATCACTACACTATGTCCCTCACAACACTACACTATGTCCCTCACAACACAACACTATGTCCCTCAAAACACAACACTATGTCCCTCAAAACACAACACTATGTCCCTCACAACATTACACCATGTCCCTTACAACACAACACATGTCCCTCACAACACAACACTATGTCCCTCACAACACTACACTATGTCCCTCAAAACACAACATTATGTCCCTCAAAACACAACACTATGTCCCTCACAACACTACACTATGTCCCTCACAACATTACACCATGTCCCTCAGAACACAACACTATGTCCCTCACAACATTACACTATGTCCCTCACAACACTACACTATGTCCCTCACAACACAACACTATGTCCCTCACAACATTACACATGTCCCTCACAACACAACACTATGTCCCTCACAACATTACACCATGTCCCTCACAACACTACACTATGTCCCTCAAAACACAACACTATGTCCCTCACAACACTACACTATGTCCCTCACAACACAACACTATGTCCCTCACAACACAACACTATGTCCCTCACAACACAACACTATGTCCCTCACAACACTACACTATGTCCCTCACAACATTACACATGTCCCTCACAACACAACACTATGTACCTCACAACACTAAACTATGTCCCTCACAACACAACACCATGTCCCTCACAACACTACACCATGTCCCTTGCAAGGCTACACCATGTCACTCACAACAATACACCATGTCCCTTGCAAGGCTACACCATGTCCCTCACAACACTACACCATGTCCCTCACAACACTACACTATGTCCCTCACAACACTACACCATGTCCCTCACAACACAACACTATGTCCCTCACAACACAACACTAAGTCCCTCACAACACTACACTATGTCCCTCACAACACTACACCACGTCCCTCACAACACAACACCATGTCCCTCACAACACTACACCATGTCCCTCACAACACAACACTATGTCCCTCACAACACTACACTATGTCCCTCACAACACAACACTATGTCCCTCACAACACAACACTAAGTCCCTCACAACACTACACTATGTCCCTCACAACACTACACCATGTCCCTCACAACACAACACTATGTCCCTCACAACACAACACTATGTCCCTCACAACACTACACTATGTCCCTCACAACACAACACTAAGTCCCTCAAAACACTACACTATGTCCCTCACAACACTACACTATGTCCCTCACAACACAACACTATGTCCCTCACAACACTACACTATGTCCCTCACAACACAACACTATGTCCCTCACAACATTACACATGTCCCTCACAACACAACACTATGTACCTCACAACACTAAACTATGTCCCTCACAACACAACACCATGTCCCTCACAACACTACACCATGTCCCTTGCAAGGCTACACCATGTCCCTCACAACACTACACCATGTCCCTCACAACACTACACTATGTCCCTCACAACACTACACCATGTCCCTCACAACACAACACTATGTCCCTCACAACACAACACTAAGTCCCTCACAACACTACACTATGTCCCTCACAACACTACACCACGTCCCTCACAACACAACACCATGTCCCTCACAACACTACACATGTCCCTCACAACACAACACTATGTCCCTCACAACATTACACCATGTCCCTCACAACACTACACTATGTCCCTCAAAACACAACACTATGTCCCTCACAACACTACACTATGTCCCTCACAACACAACACTATGTCCCTCACAACACAACACTATGTCCCTCACAACACAACACTATGTCCCTCACAACACTACACTATGTCCCTCACAACATTACACATGTCCCTCACAACACAACACTATGTACCTCACAACACTAAACTATGTCCCTCACAACACAACACCATGTCCCTCACAACACTACACCATGTCCCTTGCAAGGCTACACCATGTCACTCACAACAATACACCATGTCCCTTGCAAGGCTACACCATGTCCCTCACAACACTACACCATGTCCCTCACAACACTACACTATGTCCCTCACAACACTACACCATGTCCCTCACAACACAACACTATGTCCCTCACAACACAACACTAAGTCCCTCACAACACTACACTATGTCCCTCACAACACTACACCACGTCCCTCACAACACAACACCATGTCCCTCACAACACTACACCATGTCCCTCACAACACAACACTATGTCCCTCACAACACTACACTATGTCCCTCACAACACAACACTATGTCCCTCACAACACAACACTAAGTCCCTCACAACACTACACTATGTCCCTCACAACACTACACCATGTCCCTCACAACACAACACTATGTCCCTCACAACACAACACTATGTCCCTCACAACACTACACTATGTCCCTCACAACACAACACTAAGTCCCTCAAAACACTACACTATGTCCCTCACAACACTACACTATGTCCCTCACAACACAACACTATGTCCCTCACAACACTACACTATGTCCCTCACAACACAACACTAAGTCCCTCACAACACTACACTATGTCCCTCACAACACTACAATTTGTCCCTCACAACACAACACTATGTCCCTCACAACACTAGGCCATGTCCCTCACAACACTACACTACACATGTCCCTCACAACACAACACTACACTATGTCCCTCACAACACAACACTATGTCCCTCACAACACTACACTATGTCCCTCACAACACAACACTAAGTCCCTCACAACACTACACTATGTCCCTCACAACACTACAATTTGTCCCTCACAACACAACACTATGTCCCTCACAACACTAGGCCATGTCCCTCACAACACTACACTACATCATGTCCCTCACAACACTATGTCCCTCACAACACTACACCATGTCACCACACCAGTGAGTTTCCTAGGATGCACTTACTTCATGCTTCTGATGAGGTCCTCCAAGGTTTCCTCGTAGTCTTCATCATCAACTGTGGCCAAAAGGACATGGCAGTTACAGATGAGCGATGTTACAATGCAAAACACAGCACGTTGAATATTTCGACCAGACGTTTGTGTAATAGATATATTATGTCATGTGACCTGTAGACATGATGAATTTTGGAAATAACATGAAGCATGAGGTTTCACTATTAAGACTACTTCCTGAGCAGACAGCAAGCCATAATAAACAAACATGAAGCGTATCATGCATGGCACACCACACATATAACTATAACATTCATAAGATTGGAGGTCTGAGGTCAATAAATATGGTGTACAGGAATATCAACATTTCCCGCTCGCTGGTATCTCCAAAACAATCTCTCGAACATTTTGTCAACTACATTTGTTACATTTTTTATTTGAAACTAAATTATCTATCAGTTGACAATGATTAAGAAAGAATGTCTTTACATAAATATTAGCTTCCACGGTGATGTGGACTTCAATCGGGGTTGTTATTGTGATTTGAAACCTCTGATCTACCAATCTGAATTGAGTATTTTTAAAAGTGATGGTAGAATTATGCAAATTTTAATTGTTATAATTCTAAAGACATAGCCCACCTCCATTTGGTTGTTCTTTGAGCTGTTCAATAGGTTTGCTGCCAAAGGGAAGTGTGAGGTAGAAGTGACGTGGACTGAGGATGCTGGTGACCTCCACAGCAACCATGGACCCCTCGTCTGGCAGCAGCTCTATCTGGTCCTCCTCCAAGACGACCACGGCCTCCTGGTCCTGAGTGATGCCTGGAACAAGCAGAGAGTTGGTCGTAGGAGTCAAGACGTAGTCAACAAGTTTGTAAAGGAGTGAGTCAAGGAGACAGTGGTTCACAGAGAGTCAAGCAGACAGTGGTTCAAGGAGAGTCAAGCAGACAGTGGTTCAAGGAGAGTCAAGCAGACAGTGGTTCAAGGAGAGTCAAGGAGACAGTGGTTCATGGAGAGTCAAGGAGACGGAGAGTCAAGGAGAGTCAAGCAGACAGTGGTTCAGAGAGTCAAGGTGACAGTGGTTCAAGTAGAGTCAAGGAGACAGTGGTTCAAGGAGAGTTAAGGACACAGTGGTTCAAGGAGAGTCAAGCAGACAGTGGTTCAGAGAGTCAAGGTGACAGTGGTTCAAGTAGAGTCAAGGAGACAGTGGTTCAAGTAGAGTCAAGGAGACAGTGGTTCAAGGAGAGTCTAGGACACAGTGGTTCAAGTAGAGTCAAGGACACAGTGGTTCAAGGAGAGTCAAGGACACAGTGGTTCAAGGAGAGTCAAGGAGACAGTGGTTCAGGTAGAGTCAAGGAGACAGTGGTTCAAGGAGAGTCAAGCAGACAGTGGTTCACGGAGAGTCAAGGAGACAGTGGTTCAAGGAGAGTCAAGGTGACAGTGGTTCAAGGAGAGTCAAGGACACAGTGGTTCAAGGAGAGTCAAGGACACAGTGGTTCAAGTAGAGTGAAGGACAAAGTGGTTCAAGGAGAGTCAAGCAGACAGTGGTTCAGAGAGTCAAGCAGACAGTGGTTCAAGGAGAGTCAAGGACACAGTGGTTCAGAGAGTCAAGGTGACAGTGGTTCAAGAAGAGTCAAGCAGACAGTGGTTCAAGGAGAGTCAAGCAGACAGTGGTTCAAGAAGAGTCAAGCAGACAGTGGTTCACGGAGAGTCAAGCAGACAGTGGTTCAGAGAGTCAAGGAGACAGTGGTTCAAGGAGAGTCAAGAAGACAGTGGTTCAAGGAGAGTCAAGCAGACAGTGGTTCAAGGAGAGTCAAGAAGACAGTAGTTCAAGGAGAGTCAAGGAGACAGCGGTTCAAGGAGTGTCAAGAAGACAGCAGTTCAAGGAGAGTCAAGCAGACAGAGGTTCAAGGAGAGTCAAGCAGACAGTGGTTCAAGGAGAGTCAAGCAGACAGTGGTTTAGTGAGTAAAGTAGACAGTGGTTCAAGGAGAGTCAAGGAGACAGCGGTTCAAGGAGAGTCAAGGAGACAGTGGTTTAGAGAGTCAAGCAGACAGTGGTTCAAGTAGAGTCAAGCAGAAAGTGGTTTAGAGAGTCAAGCAGACAGTGGTTCAAGGAGAGTCAAGCAGACAGTGGTTCAAGGAGAGTCAAGCAGACAGTGGTTCAAGGAGAGTCAAGGACAGTGGTTCAAGGAAAGTCAAGCAGACAGTGGTTCAAGGAGAGTCAAGCAGACAGTGGTTCAAGGAGAGTCAAGCAGACAGTGGTTCAAGGAGAGTCAAGGAGAGTCAAGCAGACAGTGGTTCAGAGAGTCAAGGAGACAGTGGTTTAAAGAGTCAAGGAGACAGTGGTTCAAGGAGAGTCAAGGAGACAGTGGTTAAGAGAGTCAAGCAGACAGTGGTTCAAGGAGAGTCAAGCAGACAGTGCTTCAAGGAGAGTCAAGGAGATGGTGGCTCAAGGAGAGTCAAGGACACAGTGGTTCAAGGAGAATCAAGGAGACAGTGGCTCAGAGAGTACATAGGAATAGACACCCTGGAGAATGTTATTGAACCAGGATGGTAGGGAACCCATGAAGATCCGGGGTAGAATAGGTCTTCAGCAACTTTTGCTTGCCATAAAAGGCTTGTAAGAGGGGAATAACGGTATCAGGTGGTCAGGCTTGCTGATTTGGTTGATGCATGTCATTGTATCCCAATTGCGTGCTCATGATGTCAATCACTGGATTGTCTGGTCCAGACTTGATTATTTACAGTCCGCCATCATGTAGCTGGAATATTGGTGAGTGCGGTGTTAAAGAACAAACAAACCAACAAAGGATGGTAGGGACGTTGGCCGTAAGGAAGCTATCTGAGACATTATCCTCAGCCAGTGACAGTGCAGGTAATGCTGGTGGTTTGGTGCCAGAAACGGGGCATGGGACAACCAGCTTGGTGTCCCTCTTAGGTTTCGTTGCAGGGGAGAGCCTGCGTTCCGTGGACTTCAGACGCTTGTCTACGTCTACATCTTGCTTCTGGCACTTGCATAAATGGTAACGGATTTATCCGTGTGATGGGAGCATTGAGAACCATGTTGATCTTGACTTCTTCGCCCACAACAATCACAACATGAATAATGAGGGTCCAAGGTGGAGAAAGTGAGTCTGCACTTGCCATTCAATTTTCATGTTCAGTACTCATCGTAATTCCAACAGATTGATACAATACTGGAGGGAAATCCAAACAAAAACACAATAAACAGTAATCTCTAAGAACCACGTCTCTCAGGGGTTTGTAATAGCCATGGTCACGGTTGATTAACGGTTGGAGCCACAAGCTGGAACAATCAGGAGCAGTGTACCACATTCTGTGCAATTGTGGACAAGCTAACATAGGAGAAACATCTAGGCCCCTCAAAACCCGAATTAAAGAGCATCAAAGCTCAGTCTCCAAAGATGACTCTAAATCAGCTCTCTCAGACCACATTCGTGACAACCAAAGCCACAGCATTCAGTGGGATAAAATCAAAGCCCTCACCACCAACCTCAAAGACTTCAAAATCAGAAAACTACAAGAAGCCATCAACATCAAAAGACTCTACCCGTCTATCAACCGTGACCAAGGCTATTACATACCTGCGGCGTACCATCAACTCATCACCTCTACTGTTAATGCTCCGCCTACTATATATATTCTGTACTATGTCACTCATTCAGTCTTGCTTGACAACGGTATAAGGATCTATACCGAAACATCGCTTTTTACAGTATTAAAGAAGCTGTTATCCATAAATTGTGTCTACCTTGTCACCCGTCAACTTCCAAGTAATGCCTATCAAACAATTTGACCTCAATCAGCTATAATCCTGTAGTTTATATTACTGGCTTCATCCTTTGTTTATGTCACTGACTTCACCAACGATTGTCGTTACTACCCTTGTGTGTACATAACAGACTTCTCCACTCCAGTATAACTACATCTGACATCTACTCTACTGTATAAACATTGCCTCCTACCTGTATATATACTTGTCCACCATACCCTGTATATCACTTGCTTTGATAATGGTGTTAGAACCTACACTGAAACGTCGCTCCTAGCTCTTAATTGTAATAAAGAAGTTGTTCATCCATAAATTCTTATCCTTATTAAATATTACTTGTAACATTAGTATTTACAATGTCAAGCTCTAAGGTTACACATATTTGTATGCAATGTTGTTATCTAGTCAGAGCTGGGGCCACATTGTTGGTAGCATGATTGCGAAAAATTTCTCTGGCTGCTAGTTGAGTTCTTTTACCAACAAAAACTTTATCCTTTCATCATGGACAGACAAATAATACGGAATCTGATGAAAGCAAACATTACAGGATCTGGTAATTGTAGACTTGGTACAATTTCCGGCAACACGCGTGTTTACCATTTTAGCATGATAATCGTACAAAATCAACAGTCCGTGAAAAATAGAACGCATCACAAGATAGGTTATATAGTAGACACTGCAACAAAATCTACGTATCAGTCAATAAAACGTTTGGTAACTTTTGGCCATGTCCCCAAAAAGGTTTGTTTCAGAGGGTGATTTGGGCACGTGAGATTTTAACACAATCACTTGGACATTTAAATAATGTCGATGAATGTTATGAATTTTTCTCCTGGAAATTGACGAAATCTGAAGGTTACTTTAAGTCCAACTTGATGAGAGAATCTCTATCTAATCTGTCTGTATACAAGAGTAGTGATTGAGCTATCAAAACAATATACCATGGAATAGCAATTTGGAACTTTGTGAGTGAGTGAGTATGGTTTTACGCAGCTTTTAGCAATATTTCAACAATATCACGGCGGTGGACACCAGGAATGGGCTTCACACACTGTACCCATGTCGGGAATCAAACCCGGGTCTTCGGCGCGACGAGCGAACGCTTTGACCACTAGGCTACCCGACCGCCCCCTTGGAACTTTGTATTTCTATGTCAGGTACACACCAATGTGAGTTAATGTCAAACTTACTGCAATGGAAAGGAAAAAATATAAACATGAAAAAAATCCCAAAATAGCAAAAAGGCACCAGTTGACAACCTGGTCTTTGTGTGTGCAAAATTTCATGTAAGAATACCCATCAGATTCAGAGATATGGTTCAGACAAACACACCACTATGAACAGAATCAAGTCAAACTTGTTGCCATGGAAACATTCTAAAAATAGCATATGGCCCCACTTTATCCCCTGATTAATACATCTACCAAGTTTGGAGGATGAATCTTGAATAGTGTTTTAGCTCTGTTCCGAAAGAGTGGAGAGAGTCACGCACGAGCGGGTAATTCCTCGCACCACCCCACATTCAAACAAAATAATCCCTGTCACTGAATTCTGGTGTTTTCACATTGCATTTTATGCAATAAAGGAAAACGTAGCCTGAAAGCCTCTTCCCCTTTATTGGAGCTGTGATGAGTGACATACAACTCACCTCTATAAAGCCATAACATAGCAATATATTAATCATATCAATATATACTGGGACATTTTTAATTCCAATATGGGAATTCTACTGACGTATGCTGCAGAAATGGGGCTAAATATACCTGTCAGGGATAGATAAATCACAGGAACCTCATTGATTGAATTGAACCATTAGTAGATAGCATCAGCATTAATCCATGCCATGGGGCAAAGTGACACACATATCTATCTGCCAGGTCAGATATTGAAGGGCTCTACACTGATCCTGGGGACAGATCTGCCCTGGGATGCTGCCCTGGAAATTTCCAATGGGACTTTCTGGTCAGAACATCCCCGAAAGAAAGTGAAGTGAAATCAGTGCTGGAGCAGGCAAATATTATCAGAGTATGATATTTCTGTTACTGCATTAAATTCATCTTTTCGTCACCTGTACCATTCCAAGCGTTTTAACATTGTTGATATTTTATACATCCTGTCGTTTCTGAGTACCATGGCATCTACAGCCAAGTGGGTATACGCATGAGAGTAGATTTGTGATCTGTGTCTATCTTTTGGTTAAAGATCACAATATTTGGAATTGAGGTGGTAAAGAAACAAGGATGAATCATTTTAGGAACCTGATATCTCATTGGCTCACGAACCCATGCTTCTTGCATTTAGATGACTGTCATCTTTATGAGAGCTCTCTGATTTCAATGAGATTGGGTTTCAAAACACCGATAAGCAGACCTATGACATGAGTAAAGGGTCACCTTGCCAGGACTAAATCGACATTGATCTTAAAAATGAGTACTTATATGGTATGCAAGGTTCATACAGATATGGAGCTAAAATATTCAAGGCCTTTTCAAGGCTGCCACCTGTCATTTTCTAGTCTTTTTAAGCTGGGTTATCAGCGTTATTGGGTCAATATTTTATTAAATCCAGCATACTACACATAATTCGTAAGACCTAAAAAGCAGCACGATCATTACATATTTTCCAACAGGATTTATTTTTCACCTAACAAAAAATTAATTAAAGTCTCTCATGAATTCTTCTGGGTCTTTGGCACACAAATCTATCACTGTGATAAATTTCACGTAAACATCTTTGGTACATATTTCTGTGCGCTTAAATGCTTTGGTTTAAAGAAGTATATGTCATTTTGTACAAATTCAAGTCTTTTGAAGCTATTTTCATGATTTTCAAGGCTTTTCAAGGTTAACATTAGAAAACAAGGTTTTTTAAGAGGGCCCTTAAAATTCCAGCCTTTTCAAGACTGTATGTTTACACTGACACATACCACAACCAGATGTATCATGAAATAAGATAGTTCCTCAAAAGAAAGGTGACATAAGTGTGTGTATGCTCAACGTGCTCTACAGTAACATCTTTTGTAGTTTGGTAACCACAAATATATTCAAGTAATATCATCATGAGATGAGAAAGGCCTGTGAAGAACTATCTCAGTATGTCAGTCTCAGTGAGTGCATCGCAATACATTTACATCAAGGACAGAACGTCGAAATGGCCGACACGATAAACGTGATGGGTCAGATCTAAAAATATGTTGTTAATGAACCTGTGGCTATCACAATGGTATCTTATCATTGATCTGAACTGGCTGATCATTAAAATGTCATAATGAAGAGGTAAATTCATAAATTGCTGTAGATTGTCAATGTCAGTCTAGACACGTTTCAAGTCGATAGTTTGGATGTGCATTTCTTCATGAGGGTGTGTCGTTGCTAGGATATTTGTGAACAAGCATTGAGTCAAATATTTTTCCACTGTATGCTATTAACACTGAGTTCAAGATTAAAGTGTCTTAATGATCGGAAATAGGGCTGGGACGAGTCCAAATTTACTACCTGGGTACCAACCCTACTATTACCCGACCCTACCCGGGTACCCGGTTTTGGTCTCAAGAGATAGGTACAAATGTCCAATTGGGAATAGTTTGACCGAAGCCTGGCAAAATATATTTAGATACTCAAATAAAATGATCTGGTCATGCATACATTGAAGTTGACTGAAGCTCTATCTCTATTCAAACATATAAAGTCAGAAGGAATGTGTGAACTAGTCACTTATAGTGCAACTGTGGAAGTTCTAGATAATTTTTGCTATTAACAATATATCACGTGACTCACCACAGGTCCGGGTAGTACTGTGGGCACCTGGGTCCTACTCAGGAACCAACCGACCCGGGTAACCGAGTTACCCGTCCCAGCCCTAATCGGAAACAATGCTCATGTACTTTATTCGTGCTGGGGAATTCCCAGCGGTTTCCCCGGGAAATGGAAAGTAGTACATGAGTGTTTGTCATTTCAAAAATCCAGTCTTGTCAAAAACATAAGAATGTCAAAATGTGTGTTTCATTCATTTATGAATGTCAGTTTCGAGGTCATGTGACTGATATCTTGTCCAATGGAAAAGCCGTAAATCATGCAAACTTCACATACAAAATTATGAGTACATGATCCACTCCATCTGGGCACAATGACAAGTGTTATAAGCCAGTTCCAGACGAAATCAGCGATAATTTATTTTTCTTTAAAAAATTCAATCTCTTGCATATACGTTGTAGATACTTCACAGCTTTTCAACATTCTGTATACATAAAGCTTGAACATTTCACCCTCCAAACAGCTGAAACATTTCCTGTCTTCGATGGTTAAGCGTAGATAAGCTCTGGTTTTTGTGACAAATACATCCATGTTATCATTTTGATAAATACCAACTGACAACTGCCAAATTATATGATTAGACTAGTAGCAGACGTATTATGATTTATAAATCACTTGGCAGTGTAAGAGTGCAACAGCTCGCTGTCGAAAAGTGGAATCCAAATCCGAAACAAAATAATTCCACAAACAGTCATTATAAACTGTTATCCTAAGACAAAATATTATGCAAATAAGTATGCATACCGTAACTGATAAATATTTATGGTCAGATGATAATATAGTTCATGTAGTCATAATATCACAAGAATATGTAAAAGTGAGAAAAATATATTTCAAAATTTGTTTTATTATAGCATTCATATTTTGTATGTTGAATCGCATGTTTGGGCATCATTGGAGTACAAAACTTGATAGAAAAGCTTGAAAATAATGAAGAATTAGTGTACTGATTTATAAAAATAGGCAAATTCCATAATTTTTCTGCAATTCTGTGGCAAGTTACATTTTCTGCAAATCGCAGAATCGCAGAATTTGTCTGGGACTGACAAGCCAAAAGATAGATCCTGACTGACCTATTCTTCCAGGAATATCCAAGGGATTGTCCATAAAGCAGAAGAAGACAAAAAGGTTATGGCGCCGCTTTTACAATACTCAAGCAAACTCACGACAGGGGACAGAAATCTTGTACCCGTGCATGTTGGGAATTGATCCCAGGTCTTTGGCAAGACGAGCGAATGCTTTAACCACAAAGCTACCACCCTGCCCTGTCCACTAAAGACTACATCATTAAAGTGTTCTTCTCTCACCTGAGGTGTGCTGGACATGTCTGTATGGGCAATATGTTCCCCGCCAACATTTGCCTGGAGTGTTGAAGTACCTGCAGATCCTCTGCTCGTCCCTAGCCTCTGAAAACACATACCGTCATAGTCACTTCACAAGTTCAATACTGTTCCTTGTCAATCATAAAGGTAAACACAATTACAAACAAAATAAACAACAAGCAAAATGAAGGACACTTCATCAAAGCTGTCATGTTAAAGAGGCACCTGTCAATCAAGCAACTTGACTGACCATCAGAAAATCAGTGATTTTGTTTGTTTGTTGTTTAACGCAGCACTAAGCAATATTCCAGCGGTCTGTAAATAATCGAATCTGGACCAGACAATCCAGTGATTGATATCATGAGCATCGATCCACGCAATTGGGAACGATGACAGGCATCAACCACGACATGCAGCGAGCTGGAAAGTCTGATGTTGTTGTCAGATCATTTTTACAACAACTTTACATTATATATAGCAGAGCAATTTACAGGATAAAACATGTGTTTGTGGAAGACTTACTAACTTCTTTTAAAAACATGTGTGATGGGCTCTGGCAACAGGTTAATTAGATACACCGACTTGAACTACTTGCTGACATGTCTAAAACTAAAACCTGGACTGTCCTTGATAACATCATTTGTGTAATCTTTTGATCCACTTGTTTGTTTGTTTGTTTGTTTGTTGTTGAACAACACACTCAGCAATATTCCAGGTGTAAGATGGCGGTCTGTAAATTTTCAAGTCTGGACCAGACGATTCTGTCAGTTGCCTCTTACGATAAGCATCATAGGTTAGTTAGTCCCGATCCTGTTAGTCGCATTTATGACCCACACTTGTCACAACACACCACAAGCGTTCCCCATTGCTATCTTTCCAGAATGACCCAAACATTAATAGAAGCACCCAATATACTGAACACAAATAGTTAGGCCTCAATAATACTTTGGAGGATATTTTTATGAAATTGTGTCTCCAGTTTTCACAACAAAATATATCACCAAATATATTCAGGATCCCTACCTTTTTTTGTTCAGTATGGATAGATATATTCATAACAAATCATAAAATACTTAGGTAAAGCAGCTTCTGAAATATTCTCATGATGCTGTAAAAAATTAGAATCTTCTCAGGTCTACACAAAAAAATGGACATGCTGGATGTTCTCAAAATTAATAATGGGCCACCCAAGAATTCCTCGGCTTTTTTCAGAGAAAAAACAATGTATGAAGAAAAGAATTTATGGATGTCAAATTATTTATTATGAGGAACACAACGTTTCGGAGTAAATGTTTACTCCTTCATCCTTCGGAGTACGTGTTTACTCCTTCATCCTTCGGAGTACGTGTTTACTCCTTCATCCTTCAGAGTACGTGTTTACTCCTTCAACCGTGGAGTACGTGTTTACTCCTTTGTCCTTCAGAGTATGTGTTTACTCCTTCAGCCTTCAGAGTACGTGTTTACTCCTTTGTCCTTCAGAGTACGTGTTTACTCCTTCAGCCTTCGGAGTACGTGTTTACTCCTTCATCCTTCGGAGTACGTGTTTACTCCTTCAGCCTTCAGAGTACGTGTTTACTCCTTTGTCCTTCAGAGTACGTGTTTACTCCTTCAGCCTTCAGAGTACGTGTTTACTCCTTTGTCCTTCGGAGTACGTGTTTACTCCTTCAGCCTTCAGAGTACGTGTTTACTCCTTTGTCCTTCAGAGTACGTGTTTACTCCTTTGTCCTTCGGAGTACGTGTTTACTCCTTCAGCCTTCAGAGTACGTGTTTACTCCTTTGTCCTTCAGAGTACGTGTTTACTCCTTCAGCCTTCAGAGTACGTGTTTACTCCTTTGTCCTTCGGAGTACGTGTTTACTCCTTCAGCCTTCAGAGTACGTGTTTACTCCTTTGTCCTTCAGAGTACGTGTTTACTCCTTCAGCCTTCAGAGTACGTGTTTACTCCTTCAGCCTTCAGAGTACGTGTTTACTCCTTTGTCCTTCAGAGTACGTGTTTACTCCTTCAGCCTTCAGAGTACGTGTTTACTCCTTTGTCCTTCAGAGTACGTGTTTACTCCTTCAGCCTTCAGAGTACGTGTTTACTCCTTTGTCCTTCGGAGTACGTGTTTACTCCTTCAGCCTTCAGAGTACGTGTTTACTCCTTTGTCCTTCAGAGTACGTGTTTACTCCTTCAGCCTTCAGAGTACGTGTTTACTCCTTTGTCCTTCAGAGTACGTGTTTACTCCTTCAGCCTTCAGAGTACGTGTTTACTCCTTTGTCCTTCGGAGTACGTGTTTACTCCTTCAGCCTTCAGAGTACGTGTTTACTCCTTTGTCCTTCAGAGTACGTGTTTACTCCTTTGTCCTTCGGAGTACGTGTTTACTCCTTTGTCCTTCAGAGTACGTGTTTACTCCTTCAGCCTTCAGAGTACGTGTTTACTCCTTTGTCCTTCAGAGTACGTGTTTACTCCATCCTTCAGAGTACGTGTTTACTCCTTTGTCCTTCGGAGTACGTGTTTACTCCTTTGTCCTTCGGAGTACGTGTTTACTCCTTCAGCCTTCAGAGTACGTGTTTACTCCTTTGTCCTTCAGAGTACGTGTTTACTCCTTCAGCCTTCAGAGTACGTGTTTACTCCTTTGTCCTTCAGAGTACGTGTTTACTCCTTTGTCCTTCAGAGTACGTGTTTACTCCTTTGTCCTTCGGAGTACGTGTTTACACCTTCAGCCTTCAGAGTACGTGTTTACTCCTTTGTCCTTCAGAGTACGTGTTTACTCCTTCAGCCTTCAGAGTACGTGTTTACTCCTTTGTCCTTCAGAGTACGTGTTTACTCCTTCAGCCTTCAGAGTACGTGTTTACTCCTTTGTCCTTCAGAGTACGTGTTTACTCCTTCAGCCTTCAGAGTACGTGTTTACTCCTTTGTCCTTCAGAGTACGTGTTTACTCCTTCAGCCTTCAGAGTACGTGTTTACTCCTTTGTCCTTCAGAGTACGTGTTTACTCCTTCAGCCTTCAGAGTACGTGTTTACTCCTTTGTCCTTCAGAGTACGTGTTTACTCCTTCATCCTTCAGAGTACGTGTTTACTCCTTTGTCCTTCAGAGTACGTGTTTACTCCTTCAGCCTTCGGAGTACGTGTTTACTCCTTCATCCTTCAGAGTACGTGTTTACTCCTTCAGCCTTCGGAGTACGTGTTTACTCCTTCAGCCTTCAGAGTACGTGTTTACTCCTTTGTCCTTCAGAGTACGTGTTTACTCCTTCATCCTTCAGAGTACGTGTTTACTCCTTTGTCCTTCAGAGTACGTGTTTACTCCTTCAGCCTTCGGAGTACGTGTTTACTCCTTCATCCTTCAGAGTACGTGTTTACTCCTTCAGCCTTCGGAGTACGTGTTTACTCCTTCATCCTTCAGAGTACGTGTTTACTCCTTCAGCCTTCAGAGTACGTGTTTACTCCTTCAGCCTTCAGAGTACGTGTTTACTCCTTTGTCCTTCAGAGTACGTGTTTACTCCTTCATCCTTCAGAGTACGTGTTTACTCCTTCAGCCTTCAGAGTACGTGTTTACTCCTTCATCCTTCAGAGTACGTGTTTACTCCTTCAGCCTTCGGAGTATGTGATTACTCCTTCATCAGGTGATCCTCATAATAAAGAAGTTGACATCCATAAATTCTCTTCCTTATGTGTATCACTTCTAAATGCATTTAAAAGACTTTAAACAATCAGCAATCAGTCAAATTAATTAGACCATGCATTTTCAGTGATCAATTCCCATAATTTCCACAACAAATTCCCCTTTATAAGCCCAATAGAATCTGTTCCAGGGGACAATCAAGACTGGTCGATGATGTTTTCTATTTACAAATACTTACTTTCTTTTAAATAGCTCAAATTTCAAAAACATTGATTCTTTATTTCAGATAACCCAGATAACCCAAGTTTACAAAATAGATAACAAATCATCACCAATCTATCGTAGAGAAGACGAAAAACTGCAACTCATTCCATCTGCTTGTACCTTATGTAAATAGTGTTTCTCTAACATGACACAGACACTATCCCAAATGTCTGCCTCTATTTGACTATCATTGATATACTATCGAAAACCCATAAATTACATTCACAGCTCACAGGATGGTGGTCTTGTCTTCATCATGTGCACATACAGCCCTAGTGATTGACTGTTACTACGGTTACATCATGAAGGCTTGTTAATATCAGTGTCCCAGTTGGAAGTACACCTGTCATATTGATGTCTGATGCTGATTGGAGGTACTAGCAATTTTACACCATTGAGACACGAACAGACATTGCCTTCACATTGCGTATTGAGTACGAACATGACATATACCACTATATATGACAAAGGGACATTTATGTGAGTGTCATATCCATATGATTTGTATGTCGGACTGATAACAACGTGACGTGCCAGACAGATGTTGATGAGAAACGGTCTGTGCGTACTTATACCTTGTCAGCTGATTCTGTTGAAGCCTTGACAGGCTGCTGGAATAGCTTCATCTCTCATAATGAACATATTTTCATGTTGATCATCAGGACAACTAAAACCATTATAATCTCAAGCTATCAAATATCATGAAAGCTTGTGGAGCTGTGCTCAACTGGTAGGTTATGTAGAGTGTGAATTCCTTGAAACTGAATGAGTGAGTGAGTGAGTGAGTGAGTATGGTTTTACGCCGCTTTTAGCAATATTCCAGCAATATCACGGCAGGGGACACCAGAAATGGGCTTCACACTTTGTACCCCTGTCGGGAATCACACCCGGGTCTTCGGCGTGACGAGCGAACGCTTTAACCACTAGGCTATCCGACCGCCCCTTGTTGTTTATGGCTATAGCAATGAAGCATACCTTAACATAGACTTACGACTGTCGTAGTGCTAATGTTGTTTTGTACAACGGTACCCAGTATGCCAAATTTCAACACACTTTCAACTAGATGGCTGATTAAGAGCAAGTATTTTCCTGCACAGAGGTGCATATTATTCAAGTATTTGTTATGTTACTAAATGTCTCATTACCTTTAAACTTCAAACTTTTAAATCTGTCATATTTTTATATTTTAAAGAATTATCTGAGTCCCTAAATACTGTTCAA